AAACAGCCACTAATTCTGAATTCTGTCAGCCTGCAGAACCACCTTGTTCCCCTCTCCCACTGGAAACCCCTCCTCACTCAAACCCCAGTGATCTCCCCAGAGCAGGGTTACCCCTCCCAGAGAGCATTTGGAAGAAAACACAGGAACCAACTGATCCTGACACCCAGCCCCATCTCCTGAAGGATCCCAGACTGGTTTGGGTTGGAAGGGACTTGAAAGATCATCTCGTTCCACCCCCTGCCATGGGCAGGGACACCTCCCACTAGCCCAGGTTGCTCCAAGCCCCATCCAACCTGGCCTTGGACACTTCCAGGGATCCAGGGGCAGCCACAGCTTCTCTGGGCAACCTGTGCCTGAATTCCCTCAGAACTCACCTCTGAGGCTGGGCAAGCCTCAAATCAAAACTCTTCAAGAACACCCCCAGCAGCAAAGAATCCCTTCAGCAGAATGAGACAACCAGCTGAAATTAAACTTCAACCTGGCATTAGTTAATACAAGTTCACCCAACCCAACTGTTTCTTATTTCTCAAGCTTCCAGCAGAACTTCCAAGCCTCTGAACAAACCCACTGCTATACTGTTCACACAGGACCACGTTAAATTATTCTTCAGGTCGGACGTGCAAAAGCTGGGAATTCCACAGCTGGAATTTTCTGTGCAATTTATTTCTACTTCTACAAACATATGCTATGATGTAACATGACTACACATCCTGTTTTTAGTGTTCTGGATGCCCAACGCTCACACATTCAGCAGTTAATAAATATTTTTGCCTTTCCCCACTGTTCATCCTGGACTAATGAAATGTTGCTCACATCTAGCTCCAAATGAGGAATTAATAATCTTCTCAGAGACAGTTCTAGATTGCTCATCCCAAAACATCCAAAGGCTTCATGAGAATGAAGTCACAACAAGAGCTGGACAAAATCCAGCATTTCTGCCTCATGGAAAATTTCAGTGTTTCCAATTGGTTTCATTGTGCTTTGAAATGAAAACACACTTTTGCAATGTCTGTAATCTTGGAATTGAAATAACGAATTTTACAGTTCTGCCAGGGGTAAAATACAACTCCCCAGGGCAGCATTCAGCTGCTGTAACACTGAGACTGGCTGTAATCACCTGCTTGCTCACTCTGTGCCTTTAACTTCTAGCAAAAAGGCTTCAAGTGAGGCAGGAATTGCATGAAAAAAAAAAAAAAAAGGATGTAAACATACAGCTGAGGACTTGCTGATAGCAATAGCCAGAGTGTTATTTAAAGCAACTTTTAAGTTAATTTCCCAAAGTTTTCTTTTAAAACACACTGCAGCAATAAATTCTACGGCATTTTGTTACATTAAAAGTGGAATGGTTCGTCTGCAAGGCTGGAATGTTGGGATCCATCCCCCAGATCTTTGCTCCTGGAGGTAGCGACAGCAACAGCAGATTGTCTCTGCACATGGAGAGCAGCACCAGCAGGTCTGGAAATGAACTGAAACCCTGAGAGAAAGGGGAAGGACATGGAATTCTCTGCAGAAGATCCTTTGCCATTGCTGGCAACAGCAAACTGGGGCAGGGAAGGTACATTCTGCTCCACTGAGAGTTCTGAGATCTGTTCTCTCATGGCAAGGCTCTGCCACCAGATTCCTCTGCGTCATCTGCCAGGCGTCTGTCCTTCCCCTCCTTCTGCTCTCCCCAGCTTCCTGCCACACTCTGGCTTTGCCAGCCTCACCCTCTTTCAGGAGCTAAGCACCAGGAAAAAAAAAAATCCTATACCTTGCTTACGTTTTCCTGTAGAAAGCAAAACATATTCTGAGAGAAAGGGATCGCTTTGCATGGAAAGATTCACAGGACTTCTCACATGGCAAAACTATGCAATTTTTCAGGCTCTTCAGTGCAAATTACAAAATCTCTTCACCCTGACTTCTCTCAATAAATTCCCACAAAATGGGTATACAGCATAATGTGCAATGGAACCTGAGGACTTATGTATTGAGCAAAATCAAATTATTTCTGACATATATTATCTCTGACAACTGACAGTTGGAGCTGCTTGGGCAGAAAGGGTAAGGAACAGGGATTATAAAGTCACGCTCTCCCTGGCAGAACTTTCCAGCAATCAGCTGTTCTGTGATCTGAGCAGGAGGTTTGGCTGGACCAATTAAGTCTAATTTGAAGGTGCAATTTTACCTAATCACTTCTTGGAACCCACTTGTACTTTGGTCTGTAGCAATGACTTCCACAATTTACCTGTGCACTGGCCGAGCATCTACTGCCTTTTGCTTTTTTCCAAACTTGCTAGCTGTCCACTTCTGTGCTGCTATTACTGTGTGGATTATGAAAAATATTGTTCCCATTCACTTTCTCTCAACGCTTCTAGTTTCACAGAGCAGCAGCAAACACACCCTTTGCCACTTCTTTTTTTTTAAGCTGAAGAGTCAGTCTCTATTTGGATGTAATTGTCTCCTTGTCACTCTTTTCTCTGCCAATTTTGTCCCTGTTTTTCAGTGTCTTTTCTTTAAGTGTTCAAGACGTGGCTGCATCACACAAACCCACGACACTGCCTTGTCCTCAGCTCCTTCCTTTACCATAATTAACATTTAATTGGCCTCACTGCTGCCGAGCACTGACTTAACCTTATCAAAAGCACATCTTCAAGTGTTCCCCCTGCAACATAATTATTAATTTGACACTCCTCATTCTGCACGTGTATTTACAGCACACTCCCCTGTGTACACTCATTTAATCCCCCTTGGGATTACCCTGGGTTTAGTTCTAGTGCAGTCTTTTGCTGTGACTTTCACATTTGACTGTGCTGAATAATTCTGTACCAGTTGCTGCTTCTGTCGTCTCACTTGTCACCTCCTTTTTCCAAATCACTGCTGACTGTGCTGAACAGAACAGGTTTCAACAAAGGACTGTGGGGAATTCACCAGGAACAGCTCTGCATGGTGAAAACTATTCCTTGTGCTTTTAGGAGTTACAAGCTTAAGAGCAGCCCCTCCGTATTCCCTCACATCATCTTGAATTCTCCAGGTAGTTTTGGTTTAGGTCCTGTCTGAAACATTTTCAGAAAGCTAAAAGCTGGATAATCTTGCTCCACATGCCTGTTGACTTCTCCAAAGAACTCTTAATAGATTTACAACTCTCTTAAGTCTCTGCAGGGGAACAAGTTGGCCTGAGAAATGGCTTCCTAAATCCTTCTAAAATCTTTTATTCAGCACATCATAGGTATCTATCTCATCCTGGTATCTGACACCTCTACTCCCTATCAGATTTTCCATCAAATTAGAATTACCTTTTCTGCAGTTCTGTGGCTCAAACAAACACACACCCACCTCTTTTTAAAAGCCTGAGTCCAATCTGTCAGTGCTCATTCCTCTGCTCATGGAGCAGATCTGAGCACAGGATTACAGATCATCATTGGAGGCTCAGCCATTTCACAGCTTCTGAAGAACATCTGAACAAAGACCACGTGGCCTTAGTGACTTGTCACTGTTCAGTTTATCAGTTTGCCTAAAAGCTCTTCCTATTGACTCTCAGCAGGAAACTGTTTGTCAGACACACATTCACTCTGGAACGTTCAGCTGTGCCAAGTGAGGGCATTGCTGTCTCCACTTCTTCCCACCACTCCTCCCAGAGGTCCGTGTCCAGTCACCTGGCAGTGTCTGAGTGCTTCTTAATCTGCTCCAGGCAAAAGCAGATGGGTTAAACAGCCTAATTGGCAGTTTAGGTAAATTAACCTGGCTGTTTTCCTGGAGTTAATTAGGAGACATGGAAACAAAATGCTCCATTTGCCAACTGATGGGAATGGTAACCTCTGGCAGGTGAAAGGTTTGATAAGCAGAGATGGGCAAGAGCTTAAATGAGCACAGAAGAAAGCCAAAATTCTGAAAGAAAACAAAAAAATTGGGAACACCTCTGACCTTTTCTGCAGCACCTTCATTATTTAAATTCCTCCTTGTGAGGGTGGGGAGGCCCTGGCACAGGTTGCCCAGAGAAGCTGTGGCTGCCCCTGGATCCCTGGAAGTGTCCAAGGCCAGGTTGGACGGGGCTTGGAGCAACCTCGGCTGGTGGAAGGTGTCCCTGCCCGTGGCAGGGGGATGGAATGAGATGATCTTTCAGGTCCCTTCCAACCCAAACCCTTCTGTGATTCTATGATTTAGCCAACATTCCTGGCTGGTTTTCTTATGTGCCTCTTCTACACCACGATCATGTGTTGTCCCCGTTTTTACCTGCTCCAGCAGCCTTCCTGCTTCTAACAACTTTCCTGAGGCCATCATTAGTATTTATATATCTAGTGAGTAGCCCTGCTGTAGGTCTCATCTGATCTCCCTTGGTGTGACTTTGAATTTCCTATGTAGGACACACTTCAATTTTGTTGGAGTATATCTTTCTATTTTTATAAAACTCATTTTAATAATGTCTTTGATACCTCCTTCCACTGTCTTATCTACACCATAAGCGCTCAGAGATACATCCTCATCTTGCAGGAAGGAAATAATTCCTTTAGTTTCACACCATGTACACAAGTCTCCCAGATCAGTGGTGCAGTATCCTCCTGAATCCTTCTGGCTGCAGACATCTGTCCACAATAATAAAAGGACAGAACTGGAGCTAAAATCAGGCCACTAAGGCAGAGCAGTGTAGGCAAAGCCGTTGTCACCTGCAGCTACAGCACAGGCTTGTCACTGCCTTCAGGAGAACTTTTTCCTCCTGTCTCTGGACTCCTGATTCATCTCTCTGAAATTTTGTGTTCCCACTCTCACCTGTCTCCTCAAGGGTCAATAAGTGGCTACACACTCCTTGGCTTCGAGCTTTGCCTTGGGGAAACTCCAAAGTCCTCCTGCCACAAGTACCCTGCCCTGCAGCACATTGCACATACCTACTTCTGCCCAGGGCTGGCTCTCTCCTTGCCCTGAGGGGATGCCTGAGGATGAATTCTCTGCTGTGGCCTCTGGAATTGCTTTCTGCAGGAACTGGGACCCCAGCTGCTCACTGGGACAGCTGCTTGAGGCTTCAGTCACCACTGTAACACAGAGCACAAAAACTGTCTGCTTTAGGCAACAACACCGGATCTACTTAGTGTCCTCACAGCCAAGCAGGAGGAGAGTTCATGGAGAGGAATTCAGGGCGGAAAACAAAGGTAAGGGATTAACAAAAGAATAAACAAAGTGGGATTGCACCAAATCGTTAAGAAGCAGAGGTTCCCCTGGCAGATACCAGCCCTCACTCCTCCCAGAGAGCCTGAAATCTGTCAGCCTCTCCCGGCTCCCTCTGAGCCTTAGTTAACACACCACGAGGCACAAACTCTACCCGGCTGCCTCCCACGACCCCCCGGGAGCTGACCTGTGTGCTGGGGGGGCAGCGGGGACAGCCAGGGACACCTCCGCTCCCTCCGCGCGTCCGGCAGCGACCTCAGCCACGCCACCTGCCTGACGAGCTGCAGGAGCAGCGCGCCCAGCGCTCCCTGCACAGAACCACACACAAAATCACGGAAAACAGCCCCGATCCCTCTTCCCGGCCCGCTTCCACCCAACCCCTCGTTCCCGGCTCTGTTTCGGGGCTCCCACCCCCGGGGTGTCCCCGGCAGGGACAGGGCGCGCTCCTCACCCAGGTGACAGCCTCCAGCACGGAGTAGCGGGGCACCAGGCGGGGCAGCGGCTGCCGCCTCTCTCCTCGCTCCGGGCCATCCTCACACGCGGGCGCCCTGGAACAACCACAAACACGGGCCCCGTGAGGCCGGGCTGCGGCGCGGGGCCCCCCAGCCGCGGGCAGGGCGCGCACTCACCGCTCGGGGCTGTGCCCCCGGCCCTGGCCCAGCCCGGGGGCGCAGGCGGGCCGGGCGGGGGTCGGCCCGCAGCGGCCCCAGCTTCGGCCCAGCAGCAGCCGCCACATCGCGCCCGCCGCCCCGCCGAGGGCATAGAGACGGGGGAGCGGCCGGGGGGACGGCGCGGGGGGCTACGGGGAGCGCGGGGACCGCGCGGGGCCGGCGCCGAGCGGCGGGTGAGGGCGGCGGGGTCGCGGCGGGGCCATGGGCGGCGGGCGGGCACAGAGCGGGGCCAGAGCGGCCCCGCCGCCATGGCGGGCACACAGCGCCCCCCGCCCTCGGGAGGCCCGCGCTGAGGGGCCGTGAGGGCGCGGCCGGAGCGGGCCCCGAGGGCGGCTGTCGTGGTCTTGCAAAATGCGGACTATTGAAAAGAAATTCTTAAGAAATTGTGTTCTTTTGTGTTTGGTCTTTGTTTGCTTTCAAGCCTGCTGAGCAAGAAGGGAGATTTAACCCGTGAAACGGCAGCCAGCAAACTCTAAGAGATGCCCAGGTGTTCGAAAAACAAATTTCTTGTTGGTAGAGTTGCCTTGTGAATGGTGCTGGCATCTCAAAAGTCAGAAATAGTTAACAATTTGCCCAGAGTGTTACAGGGGGTCAGAAGGGGGTTTGTGAAACAGGGTCTTGCCGTATTGTTGCAAAATGTGGAATGTTAAAAAATTTTCTTAAAAAGGGCTGGGCTGTTTTTTGGTGTTTGATCTTGGTGTACTTTCAAGCCTTATCAAAGGGACATTTAGTCTGCAAACCATAGAGCAGCTCACAAGCTCGAAGTGATGTCCAAGTGTTAGAAGTACAAATTACTTGATGGTGGAATTGCCCTGTGAAGGTTTGGGGTTTGACATGTTTCAATGGTCTCAGGCCTAAGGGAGGTTAACAAAGCCTGGGAAGAAGGATGTACCACTGAGAGTGGACACAGAGGATGCAGAATTTGCAGGCTACAAGGACATCTGGTAGAACCCCCAAGATAAGGAAGAAATTAATAGAGACAACTCAGTGATTGTGCTGAATCAGCTCCGACTGCGTTAGAGGTAATTCTGGAGGGGAGATTGTGACCACCATCTCATGGCCACCAACCCCAAGAAACCCACCCAAACAAAAGAAAAGGAAGACTGAGCATGTGGACTAATTACAATGAGAAGTGAGAGAATTATTAACCAATAAAAAATAGAACACAATTAATAAGAGAACTACGCAACTTGCAGCCATTAAACACGAATGCCTGTGTTTGCTAAAATATAAAAATAGTGAAAAGTTTTGGTAGTGGTGCTGCTGACTTTGTGGATTTACCACTCAGCCCCTCCTTGCTTTGCAGAACTGTAAATAAATCAAATACCTCCACTCTATGTGTGGATCAACCTCTTGCACACCGAGGGAAAGAGGCTGTTTTGGGACAACAGCAGGGAAGGTCCCTGGTGACCTCCTGTAGTTCAGGGTGGGGGGATAACACCCCATGGAAAGCACAAGCAGGGGGACACAGCCCTTCCAGCCAGCTGGACCCAGGTTGTCCCTGCAGCTTTGGGGTGTCTCTGAAGACACTCTGAGCCCAGAGATGAGCCCTGCCTTAAATATAGGGACCACATTAGTAGTGTGAAGTGCTGAAGGATTCCTGAACCTGTGATTATAAACCAAATAAACTGTGCCTTTTCCTACAAAGTTGATCGAGGGACTGGAGCAGCTCTGGGAGCAGCAAAGGCTGAGGGAGCTGGGGCTGTTCAGCCTCCAGAGCAGAGCCTGAGAGGGGCCCTCCCCAGGGGGTGTCAGGGGCTGCAGGGAGGGGGCAGAGGCTGGAGCAGGCTCTGCTCGGGGGGCCCAGCAATGGCCCAAGAGGAACGGGCAGGAACTGATGCCCAGGAAGTTGCAGCTGGACAGGAGGAAGAACTTCTTTGCTGTGACGTGACTGAGCCCTCAAGAGAGAGCAGAGAGGGTGTGGAGTTTCCTCACTGGAGATATTCGAGACCTGTCTGGACACAACCCTGTTCCATGTGCTCTGGGATGGCCCTGCTGGAGCAGGGAGGTGGGACCAGATGAGCCACTGTGGTCCCTTCCACCCTGACCCAGTCTGTGACTCCTCACCCACTGTGTACCTGCAGAGCAGGGGGTAGTTTGGGTGCTCCACCCGAGTCGGACAAGGGGAGATTGCAACACAAGAAAGTCATTTCAGGTGTGATCAGAAACTCCATCAGTTGCTCATCCTGTAATCAGTGACATGATTAATTATATTTGGGACATGGGTATAAATGCAAAACATTTGTTTCAGTTGTGAATGGAAAAGTGCAATAAATGCATTAAGGCGTGGGTATGGTTTGGGTTGTGTGTGGATCTCCCCCCACCTCTGGTCCCATTCAGCCTGGCTTTGTGGCTGATGGTGCTCACAGGGGCTCCCTTGGTTTTTATGTGCTGTGTTTGTTCCAGCAGTGTTGCAACAGGAGATGGCAGAGTTCCCAACGGAGACCATGCCATGGCAGCGGGAGGAAAAATCAGCTTTATGTCCTCCTTCCCTGGTGGTTTCCTTCAGCAGTAGGAATATTGCCGTGCTCATTCCAGCTGAACACTCCACTTTCTTGTTTATTTCTTTGTTCCAGAGGCACAGAAATTCTTGGTCTTTCTTTTTTCAAACCATCTGTGCTGGTAATTCCTGTTATGAACTCAGGGTTCTTGTTCAGTTTTATCTGTGGTTTATGCTTCAATAGCTGCAAGTTTAGCTTCAAGTGTGGCTTTCCCAGAGATTCATAATCGCTCTCCTTCATCAACCTAAACACCTACTTTAGACTACCAAGTTTCTCTAGGTTTTCCACAGCTTTTATTTTTTTTTTAGTGATGTTATATGGGACACAAATCCTTTATCCTTTTCACCCCAGATTTGGCTTAATAGTGTAATTACAAAGTAATTTAGTTGCCTGTTTTACTAAATGTGTCTGTAATTGTCTCATGTTAGTAGGCCGGTGTTTGCTAAGCTACTACAGTTTGTTTGGGGATGAAAATTACATGCAAAATAGAAATATCAGCATCTCCACTATATAATCTTGCCTTAATTTTCTCGCTCATCAGGTTGATACCATTAATTAATGCTCCAAACTCGGAACCTGCATTTGTTGGTATTGCTTCTTCCAAGGTTTTCTCAGCTAATCACTGTATTTTTAAGGCTGTTAGTCCTAGTTTCCTTTTTTAAGTCCCCAGCCAGTTGATGAGTGATGATCTCTGTCTTTTCTGCAACTGGCAAGGCAACAACAGAGCTGATCTGTTTGGATTTACATTGTGAGGATTCCACAGGAGCTGCACAGTGTCCGTGGTGCAGTGGTGAGTTTGTGTCTGACACTGCAGAAGGGAAAATCTTCAGATGAAGATGATATGGGGATGCTGAGGGATGAGGAAGCAGCTCTGCAGAGAAGGACTTGTGGGTCCTGGGGGCCAAGGAGGCCAATGGGATCCTGGGGGCATCAGGAAGAGCCTTGGAGCAGGACAGGGAGGGGATCCTGCCCCTCTGCCCAGCCCTGGCCAGGCACATCTGCAGGGCTGGGCCCAGCTCGGGCTCCTCAGCACAGCAGGGCCAGGGAGCTCCTGCAGCGGGGCCAGCGCAGGCTGCGGAGATGCCCAAGGGATGGAGCAGCTCTGGGAGCAGCAAAGGCTGAGGGAGCTGGGGCTGTTCAGCCTCCAGAGCAGAGCCTGAGAGGGGCCCTCCCCAGGGGGTGTCAGGGGCTGCAGGGAGGGGGCAGAGGATGGAGCAGGCTCTGCTCGGGGGGCCCAGCAATGGCCCAAGAGGAACGGGCAGGAACTGATGCCCAGGAAGTTGCAGCTGGACAGGAGGAAGAACTTCTTTGCTGGGCAGTGACCCAGCCCTGGAGAGAGAGCAGAGAGGGTGTGGAGTCTCCTCACTGGGGATATTCGAGACCTGTCTGGCCACAATCCTGTGCCGTGTGCTCTGGGACTGAGCAGGGAGGTGGGACAGGTGATCCACTGTGGGCCCTTCCAGCCTGAACCATTCTAGAATCCCGTGATTCTGTGAAGGGAACTGTCACAGCAAGACAAAGCTGAGATGGCAAAGCCCAGAGGTATCAGCTGCTGTGGAGTAACGGGGGTAAAGGAGTAAATGTTGAAGAGAGAGTGGCTAAAGCAAGAGGATGGTCAGCGAGGGCTACTGTGGGGTCTGACCAGCTCAGCTGTTTTGTGTCCTTGCAGAGTAGGAAGGACACTGAGAAGGAAGAGGTGACAAGCCATGAGGAATTGCTGCAGGTGCAGAGTGTGTCAGTGCAGCTTTTCTGGGTGCTGATGGTGGGATTTTGTTCCATGCACCCGAGGGTGCTGGAGGAAGTGGCTGATGCCACAATAATTGGGAGAGGATTCTGCTGACTGAAAGAGGGCAAACACCAGACACTTATTCAAGAATTCTTCCCTGGGAGGGTGGTGAGGCCCTGGCACAGGTTGCCCAAAGAAGCTGTGGCTGTCCTATTGCTGGAAGTGTCCAAGGCCAGGTTGGAGCTACCTGGGCTAGTGGAAGGTGTCCCTGCCCATGGCAGGGGGGTGGGACTGGATGATCTTTAAGGTCCCTTCCAACACAGACCATTCTGTGATTCTATAAGAAGGGTAAGAAGAAAGATTGGGCAACTCTATGCCACTTGATTTAGCCTGGCTCTTTAGAAGGTGATGGTGCATCTTCTCCTGGAAACTATTTTAAGCAAGAGGTAATTTGGAACAGCCACAATGGATTTGACAAGGACAATCTGCCTAAACAACCTGATGATGGGACTGGCTCAGAGAACAAGGGGAGACATGTGAATGGTGCTTACCTTGAGTCTACCAAGACTTTGACATGGGCACTCATAGTGTCATCTTACCAACCTGGTGGGTGAGGTATGGATTGGGTAAATGGGCTATAAATTGGATGGAAAATGGCCTGGATTGTTGGACTCAGATGGTGGTGATCCATGGCTGAGCACAGTGAGTGTACCAGAAGAGGCTGAGAAAACTCTATTTGTTACCACGGTAATCTTAGGGAAATAAATACTTTGCTCCTTAGGGAAATAAGTACTGTGCTCCTTAAGAAATATGTTTATTTTGATTGGAAGAGGAAACCAGGCTTGTAGTAGAAAGCAAGTTAAAAATAGACATCAAGGTTCTAGAAGGCTGTATACATTCTATGGTCTTCTAAAAACCTTGCAATTGAAAGCACTCTTTCAGTCACTGGTTTAAACACTCATTAAGGCCCATTCCCCCTTAAAGGTCAGGCAAAATGAACATATCTCCAAGTCCTTCATTGTTTCTTCGAGACACATTTGCCACTGGAACTTTATTCTCTGGGTGCTGGTTCCTCTGGTCTCATAGAGGTCTTCTGCTAACTTAGGTTTTCATCAACATTTTTATTTTTCTGCATCTTGAGCAAAGCAGTTTTGTGCAACATGTAACCCTTGATAAACAATAGTTGTTCTTCAATCTCAAACCAGAAATATACGGCCAAAAATCTCACCATACCCCTTTGACCAAGTATGCTTCAAACATTGTAATTACAGGGATCTTGTTTCACAGCTCACAAACAAAGCAAATGTGTTTGTTTTACTTTATTAGATTTCTTATAATACTTCATACAAACCCAAATGTGCATATACACACTCTGTCAATATTGCCTACTGCAATTTATTAAGTTTTATAAATTTTTTCCACTAGGTCACTGTGTTGTTAAACAGAGAGTGAAGGCAGGATCAATGCTAAAGATGGGAAGGCTAAATTTCCAAGTAAACAATCTCAGCTTTCCCTTAATAAGTTTATAAGGGATGGTGTTGAGGAAGCTTAATTAATCATTAGCCTGAAACCTCTCTTAAAGCAGTTGTATTTTTCTAACAAGAGAATAAGAAAACAAAGGTCTTTGGGCATGAGCTGCAGCTCGTGCTGCTGTTTCACTCTTCCCTGAGTGCTGCAAAGCCCCTCAGTCAGTCACTGTAATCCAGAGCTGGAACTGGGAGCGCATTTTGGGGATAGATCTTGTTGCTTTGTGATGAACTCGGAGGCCCTGGGAGAATCTCTTGGTGTTGACAGCCCCTGACAGTAAATGTCGCATGGACTGGGAGGGAGCTCAGAGCCTTCTGGTGACTGCGATGAGAAGAGACACAGTGACAGAGGCCCTGATTGATGAGCTGTGCCACGAGGAGAGGGAGCTGGGTGTGAGTGTCTGTAATTGAACGGGCCACGGAAGTTATTCCTGGCTTTCCTAGGACGGTGACACACACTGCAGAAGAGTTTTCACAGGGGAGGCCTGTAAACCTGAGCCCTGGTGCTCGGCAGCTCCCTGTTAACGCAGCGTTAAAACTTAACAGGCTGGTTCAGCTTCATGCCCAGAGTGATAATGAAGCAAACGACAAGAGGAGATGGTCAGTCCTGCAATTACTTTCAGGAATGTTCCTTTGTCAGCTTTTGCCTCCTCCTTTTAGTGCTCTCTCCCCGTGGCTCTGTGATCTGACACCGTGGAGACGTTGATTACCGAGGTTCCCTGGTTCTGACACTGCGCTGCTGTGACACGGGCTTGTCACAGCCATGTTGAGGACAGGGCTGATGCTCCTGGCGTTAACCAGGGCTGTGAGACCTCGTAGCCCACTCACCCAGCAAAGCATCTGCTCGCACTGACCAATTAAATTGGCTTCTCTCTCATTAAAACCCTTGTGCAGGCTCTGGTGTGTCACAGATCTTTAAAATCTCCATTATGAATTCCATTTTTTTCCGGGTATTTTTAGCTTATACTTGAAGAAATGATTATTGTCTCTTACGTTTAAACATATCAATTTCGGCTCCACAGACGTCTCCTCTGGGCCATATTCAAAGACCTGATCTGACTTGAACTGCTGAGTCCGTAGGGAGGATTTCAACACTGCTCCAAGCACTCGGACATTGGAGCTGTGCAGGGAGGAAGAGGGAGAGAAATTCAAGCCCTCCCCCATTTCCTTTGGTGAGCCAGGAGCACATCGCTTCCAGATTTACTTGGATGTGCCAATTTAATGTGATTTCTTCTGAGGGCCTGGAACCACTCAAGGAAGGCTGACAGGTTTTATCAACAGAATGGAAACTGAAGTGATAAGGTGAGAGTTGTTGACATGATAACTAACAAACAGAAAACTTCAGTGTCCCTCCAGCTAAATATTGCACTCTGCAGGTAAGGAAACGATGGCAACAGCTGTGGTCTTGTCACTGAGCGAGAGTGTTTTAGTGCAGAGGAGCAGGAGGTGAACTGTGAAAACAAACACATTCAGTTTGCTACAGACTATTTCCCTCTATTACTTTTAATGAGAGCTAAACTCCAAAATGCACAATGGGACAATAATATTGTGGATAGAAGGAAGTCTGTGCACAGCTCCTAAATTCCAGACACCCGGTTGCAATTAAAATGATTGCTGTGTATTATTAATGGCTCGCCAGGAGTTTAAGGCTGTGATCAGGGCTGGGACCAATTGGTACAAGTCACTGCACAAGTGACTGAAAGGTAGAGCTGTCCCTGAAGGAGCTGAGTTAACAGCCTGAACCCCCTGTGCTCAAAGGAGCTGGGAAAGAAGCGTAGAAAGGTGAGAGGAGGATGTTAAAACACATCACTGTAGAGGCTGGTGAACAACAGCTGGGTCACTACAGGCAGATGTTAATAAATGCTGCTTAATTGTGGTTTTTTAATTATTATTATTTTTTTAAATTTTAATTCAGAAAATGTGGTAGGAGGAGGGCAGATGGGAAAAGAAGTAGAGACCTCTATTGAATGATGAATTAACGGGCACAGAAACTACTGCAAGTACAGCAATTGTTTATTCCTCCTTTCCCCCCTTATATTCTTTTTCCTGAAAACATGCAGGGATTATGTATGGAGCGTAGCTGTCACAGCTCTCCCACAGCCCTTGAAATCGTTGTCTGACAGCATAGAAGGCTTCAGCAGCTGAACAAAGAGGCACGAGACAGAGCTCTTGTACGGTGTCCGTCCCCCCTCCCTGGCACCTGGCCTGCTCGGCACGACTGGCAACGACAAACGCCAAGTGATCCCTTCCCATTCAACTTCTCCTGCTAACTTTGTTTTTCACATGAAAGAGGTTTTGTACTTACTGTGTTTGTCATTCTGCCACGTATCTTTTCTTTTGCCTGTTACAGTTTGTCTCAGGTGAAGGTACCAGAAGTGTGCTTTGTTTTGGAGAAGCAGAGACACCATAAATTGTACAGGGGCAAGGTTGTGCTTTTCTCTCCAAACTGTGCTAAGCTTTGGAATTTTTTTTTGCCTGCTATTCAGCAATGGGGTCATATATTCATAGAACAAGCTGTTACGATGTTGAGATGCATTTCCTAAATTGTGCAAACTACCTCAGGGCCCATCACTCCCCGTGTAAAGTTAGTGTTGCTTTTTGTGGATAGCCAGATTATGGTTGTCAGGGCTGAAATTTATCTTCCACTTTGTCATGAGGCTTGCTCAGTGTTGTAAGATCTTGAAGTTTTTTGTAGTAAATATTATCCTAATTAATTTAGTTTTTATCAGAAATCTTCTTCACTGTTCCACCAGCTTTCCAAATCATTCCTGAGCACATTGAGCACCATGGACCATAATCCCCGTGGGACTCCCCTGATGATCATCTTCTACTGTGAAAACTCATCCTTTAGTATAATCTTCTTTTTCCAGTACTAAATGCTTATTTAACTCTGTGAGGTCCTTACCTGCAGTCCCTGGCTGTTTAGTTTGTTTAAGAGCCTTTGATGGGACCTTCTACGCATGAGGTTTCTGGAAGCTTGGGGTGAGTTGGAAATGCAGGGAAAATTTCTCAGCTGGAGCTCTGCTATTTACATGCTTTTGAGTCCTTCAGAGAATTCCAGCAGATTCAGGAGGCTCAGATTCCTTTTACAAAAGTCATGTTTACTTTTCCTTAACATGTTACTTTTATTCATATGCTTGCTGATTCTGTTCTTTGCCAGAGCTTCAGCCAATATGACCCATATGGACATTAAACTTACTGATCTGTGGTTTCTTGAATCACCACTGGATTTATTTAAAAAACCCGATTTCTTACTCGTTACCTTCCAGCCCTTTGAAAATCACAGCAATTTCCAGCAAAAGGTTACATACATACTGAGGGTGTTAGGTCAGATGATTCATATTTAACATTCAATAAAAACCCTGCCTGAATTCTGGCCGTGTACAGCGATACGTTGTTATTCATTTTATCTGGTCTGTAATCTCCACTTAACACCCTGAAATTAAGACAAGCCTTCTCTGAAGGCCTTACAAACAAGGTGCTGGTTCGAGAGTTTTCAAGGTTCTCCAGGTGAAGAGAGATTTGGGGAAAAAAAAAAAAAGAGCTTGGGATTTTTTTTGTGATGGCATCATCTTTTCTGAGTCTTCTTCCTCACACTGACTCTTCCAAGGCTTCTTGTTCTTGATGTGTTCAGGAAGGATTTATAGCATACTTTTCTATTTCTTTAGCAAACTGCTTCTAAACTCTTTCTACGTTATTGTGCTTTTACATTTAGTCTGCCAGAATTTATGTTCTTTTTAGTTTTCCTTTTTCAGACACAACTTCAGCTTTTTGCAGGATACCTTTTAACTTCCAAGAGCCTCCCTGATCCTGCTGTTTTATGATGCCAGCTTTTTGTTTTCCTCTCAAGTCTTTTTTTTTTGACAGGTTATATGCATTTGCTTTGAGCCTCCAATATAGAATCCTAAAATAGTCTACCTGCCATCTGAAAACATTTTACCTTTCTGGCTGCCACTCTGAGCATTTTCTTTAACAAATTTCCTCATTTTCGAATTCCCTTTCTCTGGAATCAAGCACAATCACTGCATTTGCCAACATTTCTTCATTTCAGAGGACGCAGTCATGAATCAGCTAAAAGGATTAAGGGGTTTGGCCCAGCCCAGTCTCTGGGAAGCCTACAAATATCAGCCATTAACATTTCACTAACGTTAATTTACCTGATTTCATTAACTGAGAAACAGGGAAGGAAGCAGCTTGCCAAGGCTGGTGATGGTGGGAATTCCTGCCCTGGAACAGCAGCTTCTCTCTCCAGCCTACAACAGACAAAATGACAGGTAATTGGGGGGGGGGCGGAAATCAATCTGAGCTGATTTCTCACCACTTCACTGAAGTTTGGTACTAATTAGCATGAGTGATTTGGGGCAGAGTGAGCAGCAGAGTCAGGATGACAATGTCCAGTTGTCACAGCAGCAAACACAGGAATGATCCAGATGGGATAAACAGCATGTGAGTGCCAGTGGTTCTGCACTGTGATAACACTGGAGAGTCATGGAATCACAGAAGAGTTTGTATTGGAAGGGACCTGAAAGATCATCCAGTTCCATCCCCTGCCATGGGCAGGGACACCTCCCACTAGCCCACGTTGCTCCAAGCCCCATCTAACCTGGCCTTGGACACTTCCAGGGATCCAGGGGCAGCCACAGCTTCTCTGGGCAACCTGGGCCAGGGCCTCCCCACCCTCACAGCCAAGAATTCCTTCCCAATATCCCATCTAACCCTGCCCTCTGGCAGTTTGAAGCCATTCCCCCTTGTCCTGTCACTGCAGGCCCTTGTCAATAGTCTCTCTCCATCTTTCCTGTCGGCTCCTTCAGGCACTGGAAGGCCACAATTAGGTCACACTGGATCCTTCTCTTCTCCAGGCTGAACAATCCCAGCTCTGCCAGCCTTTCCTCCCAGCAGAGCTGCTCCATCCCTCTCACCATCCTGTTGTGGGGGGCCACGTGAAAAGCTTTACAGAAGTCCAGATAATGGAGAGCTTAGAAGGCTTCATGGCTTCAGTTCACATCTAACAAAATCTTGGGTATGGTCTGACTGAAAAAAGGCCTAAGACTGAATTGGCAGAGGCTGGTTTAGGATGCAGTTCTTTTTGTGTCTCTCCAATGACAAACTACTCCTTGCAGTGAGCAGGAGCTGCTTCCAGGCAGCTCCAAAGCTGTTTGGGATAAGGAGCTTTGCCAAGCAAAGGTGACTAAAGCTTGCTCAGGTGAAAAACTCCTCTGAGGGTGAAAGGCAGCTCCACTCAGGTGCCACAAAGCACCTTTAATGCAGGACGAGTCACCCCACCCCATTGCAGTGCCACTGCTGAGTGGCATTGACTGCTTAGCAACGGGGAGAGTGATGGGGATGCAGATGAATTGACTGTTTTCTGAGCAAGCTGGGTAGGAACAGAAGTAATTAGCTGCTAGCTGATGAAAAGGCATGCTTAATTATTAGTATAATTATAGATATAATAGACTAGGAATTATTCAGTAAAAGTAAGAAGGCCAATATGTTACGAAGAAGGTAATGGGAATGGAGGAGAAAATGACAGCAGTGTGAATTCTTGAGAGGAAATGTAAAGGATTAAGATGATAAATCAGGAATCTTTTGGGTTTCTACTCTCTGACATATCAACTCAATTTAACAGGGTACACAGAGCTAACGAGGTCTGTGGTGTGCATGATTTCTTTTATATAAGAAACCTTATATATGAAGTTTTATATAATGTTGATGTAACTGAATGTATGCCAGTGAAATCGAGGTGTGCTTCCATAAATCTCAGAACCTGCACAATTTCACAAGGATCTTTGCTGTCCTTCCAGCAGTTTCCAGCCATTTAGAATCCTGCAGGAAGCTGGGCTATAGCTGGTTCTGATCAATATTGATCATTGATTATAATGATTGGATAAGGCAGCACAGCTTTCCCCTGGCACCCTGAGAAGTCATGGTGACTAAGAAAGTGTCATATTTATCAGCTGCCCTGCCTGGCCACTGCAGCTTAAACTGCTTTCCATGGGAAAATGGCTGGAGATAACAGGCTGAACTGCACTAGCAGGGGCATCAGCAGTTAATACAGGATGTAGAATCACTGAAATGGGTAGTTTTGGAAGATTTCAAGTATTTTAAGATTTTTTCTGATGTCAGAATGGACACAGGTAGGGCTACACCTGCCTTTGTGCCAGGGATTGGACTGGATACTAATGACCCCAGCAGTGTCTTCTGTAAGAATCTGCAGCTGAGAGGCCCAAGATGTCCACATTTTCTTTTCTAAAATCGTAGTAATTTCTAAAATTATGTCATTGGAAAGGGAGACTGGCACCAGCAGCTCTAATCTGGGTTCTGTGAGTCTGAAAGTAATGGTGCCAAAGGATTACAAACCATTTTGCCCATTGTGCTGGGTGGGAAGGAAAATCAAGATATGAAGATTTTATTGAATTAGGATTTGAGGACTAATTATTAAAATGGCTTTTGATGAATGAGTTGTGAGTCAGGATGGTTTGGCAAATAACATTTTGATAAGGTATTTGTGAGACAGATAGTCTTAGGATGGTAGGATGAACGTAAAACACTAACCTTAATGAAGACATTAATTCAAAAATGATGCAAATGTGCATGAGCAATTGCTGTGTGAAGGCACTGGGGGACATCAGGGCAAATTGGGTACAGACAAACTCTAATCGTCTTCAGCTGGGCACAGAATCACTGAAAAGTGAAGTTGGAAGAAATCTCAGCCGATCACTTATTCCATCTCCTCCTTCCACACACAATCAGATCTGCTGATGATACTCTTGGCGTGTGCAAAGCGGTTGTTTCTCTTCCATTTTGTAGCAGACTTTGATCTGCTCCAGGACTGTTACTGCACTGATCCTGCTCTGTCAGGGCTGTTACTGCATCTTTCCATGGTGTTCTCTCTTTTGAGCATATTCTGTTCTCAGTCTCCTGATTCAGGCCATGTTTTTTTCCAGCCCTCCAACCCTTCGTGTTGCTGCTTACCCTGTCAGAGGAGCAGCACCCAAAGCTGGATGTGCCTCTGCACCGAGGTGTCACTGAGAACACCAAAAGGACCTGCAAGATGTCTTGTAGGTAATTCTTCTGCTAATATGCCTGAGGAGTGTTTTCTCTCTGCTCAGACAATAACCCCTGTTCAGCTTGTTATCAGAACCTTTAGATTGGTTTTCTTTCCAGACTGCTCTCTGCCCAGCTGATGTCTGTCCTGTATTTGTGCACTTTACTCCTGCCTAAGTGAAACCACAATGCTTTTTACCATTGAGATGGCTCCTGTATTTATAGAGTTGTCCAAGTTGTCAAAAGTTTCTAATACCACTCTCCCCCATATATTTGCAGCCACTCTTTGCAGATTTAATCTTGGCAGATTTAATAAACACACAGTCCATTCCCTCATCCAGGCTATCAATAAAATATTGAGTGGATCTTATGAACAGCTGAGTAACCATTCAATTTGTCCTTTGCATTTCACAGTGAACCATTGGAAACTGCTTTCAGACTGCAGATTCCAACCAGATTTGTGTCATGACTTCAGCCAGCGCATTTTTCACCCACGTGGGACAATGTCAGGAGCCTCAGTGACATTGAGGTGTGTGGAATCTGCTGCTTCTTCCTTACCCACAAAGTCTCATGCACTGGAGAACAAAATTAGACTGAATCAGCTTGTTTTGTTCCTGAGGGATTCATGTTGACAAGTGCTCATCTCCTTATTAGTTTCTATGTACTTAGAAATCATTCTGATTATTCTGGTGATTTTCTTTTCCTGGGTGTTAAATCTTTTGGTATCTTGCTTATTCTGTTTGACTTGTAGATGACTGTGAGTGGTTCCAGTTGCTTGAAAGTGTATAAGAACATTGTGGACAGTTGTGAAGGCAACAGATACAAACCTTTCACCAGGAGAAGGCCTGTGCCAAATGTGAAACTCCTGTGATAAAGCACAGAGACACAAGTGGTTCTCAAGGGAGTGGTGGAAGGAATGTTTTGGCAAAAAGAAATTATTTTATTTCAGTCTGAGAAATGATGATGCAAATCAGTGTGATTTAAAAAAGAGATTTCAGGGTAGCTTGGGAGAATTCTGAGCAGTTTGAACTACAAGTCTGAACAGTCTTGTAGAAGTTGTCTTGTAGATTAGATATTAGGAAGAAATCCTTCCCTGTGAGGGTGGGGAGGCCCTGGCACAGGTTCCCAGAGAAACTGTGGCTGCCCCAGCCCTGGAAGTGTCCAAGGCCAGGTTGGACGGGGCTTGGAGCAACCTGGGCTAGTGGAAGGGGGGTGGCAGGAGAGTGGAATCCTTAAGGTCCCTTCCAACCCAAACCCTTCTGTGATTCTATGATAAATATGGTCAGGGTCATGTAAAAGAAGTTGGGAAACCTAGTTTTGGGTTGCACTGACTTCTTTGCCTATAATAGATTGATAGTGAACGTCTAAGAAAACAGAAATAGAGATTAGACTAAATTTCATAACCTTTTAACCCAGAGAGCCTGGATCTCCTCTGCAAAGTGTCTTCTGCACTCATAAACTCACAGTGTTGACATGAGCTTATTCACAGCACAGGGTGACCTTTGCACAGCTCAGCCAGCAGTGCCTGTGTGCTGAGCTTTAGTATCTCCTCTCAGTGCACACACGTGACTGCAGGGTTGATCTTCCCAAACCAACGTATTATGCTGCATCCTGTAGCACTTCTGGGGTGTTTGATATTGTGTGGATGGGAAGTGGATGTATATTTATGTGAGCACTCCTGTGTATGAGTCAAGGGAGAAAAGATCACCATTGCAATGGGTATGAATGATTTGTTGTTATTCAGAAACATTGATTTTGCCTGAATTCAATATCTAAAAAGGGTCAAAAAAATACCACCCAACAAACTCTTACCTGTGTTGTGCATTAACAAGGCTTTGGGTCAGTACCTTTCCTGCTGTGCTGTTATGTAGAATTATCATCATGGTCATGCCTTGGGTTGTTTGCAAGAATCACAGAATGCTTTGGGTTGGAAGGGACCTTAGACATTTCACCCCCTGCCATGGGCAGGGAGTCATCCCACTATCCCAGGTTGCTCCAAGCCCCATCCAACCTGGCCTTGGACACTTCCAGGGATCCAGGGGCAGCCACAGCTTCTCTGGGCAACCTGTGCCAGGGCCTCCTCACCCTCACAGGGAAGATGGAACTGCTGGCAGAGGAGGGAAATCAACAGTGTCATCACACTCCCAAAATAGAGGCAGCTGTATTCCATGTTGGCTGCAGGAATATTGAAATGTGAGCAAGGACCCTGTTACAACTCTTCCTCCTCTCCCTCCTTTATTCCTGGTCTTTTGCAATACAGACCCCTTCTGCTTCCTGGTCCTTTGAGCTTAAGGAGCTGTAGAAATATTTCAGATGTCATTTGTGTGGGGAAAGATTCCTTGCTCACTGGTATCCTTTGCTTTTTTCATGTGCCCTCCACAGGCAGGGTCGGGAATGTTCTTGGTGATAAGCAGACACATGAGAATGCTCTGAGGGGAGGGGTGCAAGGCAGTGCAGATTTACAACACTGAGGTGAGTCAGTTCTTAACAGTGAGGGCTTTGGAGTATTAACTCCCAGTGACTTCCACTACAAGGCAGCTGTTAACATATTACTATGAATTGGCTTGGAAAAAGAAAAAAAAGATTAAAATTGCATAAGTAGATAAATTTTAAAGAGACGGAAATAATAATGACATGAAAATTGGCTGAAAGGGCTGAGTGACAGTAACAATGGAACATTTTAAAAATAAATGGGTAGCTGGGAAAGAGTGCAGGGAGACATTGCTGCCTGGAGATCACAGAGCCACCTAAGCCTGACAGTTTCTATGACTGCATGAAACAGAGAGACACAGCCAAGCCCCCGCTCTCTCCCAGCACATTATCCTGCACAGCAATCAGGTTCAGTAACAGGCTGCTGAGGAAAAGCCTCCCACTATTTAGTATTCATTAGAGATGGCATTTTTCAGATTGCAGCACAGGGTGTAAACAAGCCACGCTGGAGGAAGAGGGGAGCACAGCATTTCTCTGAGCTCTGAGTTATTTCTTATTGATAGTCACCAACTCCACAAACCTATGGCAGCACCAGTTTTAGGCAGGGAAAGTAACTCTCGAGCCAGCACCATTTTCCAGCGTTCTTGCAGGAAGCAACACGACAGGAGGCAAACCACAATTCCTACAGTAGGACGAGCGTGTGGCTCCCTTGTGGGGCTGGAACATCTGGCAGATTTGTTTCTGTGAGTCATCATGGCTCTGCAGCCTGCCTGGGACGTGCCAGCTGCCTGCTTGATATTCCATTTCCATTGCATTTTGTAAAGCTTGTCTGTGGGAGGAGGGAGCCTGTCCCCATGGGCAGGGTCCTGCAGGGCTGGGACACCTGCAGCTGGGAGCAAAACTGTGCCTGGACACACCACTATCCCAAGTACTCCAAATGTGACCAACTGCTGCCACATATGAGTCAGCAGTGCCCTGGCAGCCAGGAGGGCCAACCCTGTCCTGGGGCATCAGAGAGGGGATTGTCCCACTCTGCTCTGCCCTGGAGTGACCTCACCTCAACATTGGGGCAGTTTGGGGGGACACAATGGAAGGAAGAGATTGAACCATTGGAGAGTGTCCAAAGGAGGGACAGGGAGATGGGGAAGGGCCTTGATTTGAAGGCGTGGGAGGACACTGAGGGCACTTGGTGTGTTCAGCTGGAGCAGAGGAGACTGAGGGGAGACCTCAGCGCAGTTCCAAGTGCCTGGGCAGGGGCAGAGGAGGGGCAGGGACTGAGCTCTGCTCTGGGGGGACCAGGGACAGCAGCCAGGGAATGGCTGGAGCTGTGTCAGGGCAGGCTCAAGTTGGATCTCAGCAAAAGGTTCTTCCCCCAGAGGCTGGTTGGGCACTGCCCAGGCTCCCCAGGGCAGTGGGCACAGCCCCAAGGCTGCCAGAGCTCCAGGAGGGTTTGGCTGATCCTCTGGGGCACAGGGGGTGACTCTTGGGGATGGGTCGGTGCAGGGCCAGGGGTTGGACTGGATGATCCTTGTGGGTCCCTCCCAACTCAGCATATTCTCTGACCCACGTGTGGGATGACACCAGCCAGTGACAGCCTGAAGAGCTGTCCTGCCCTGCAGAAGAGGTGCATGGACCTCGGTGCATCCCATGCTGGCCCTTCTTTTTTTGGTGGAAGGTTGTTTTTTCCAAGGAACTGGATGCCAGCCACCCCAAAAAGATACCTGGGTGTTTTTCCATCATCCCTGAGTCACTGGTTCCCACAAGCCATAAGGTGCTGAGCACTGCAGGGCTGGGAGCTGTGGTGTGGGGAAATGCTCCTGGGCTCTCACCCCAAACTCCCCACGGCCTCCCCAGAGTCTGCCTACAAAATCCAGTCCTGGAATGCTGAGGAGAGGTCACATGTGACAGTTCTGCTCCAGACACACTGCCTGGGTGAGTGCAGGGAGCCTGCAGTTACAGAAGGTCTTTCCAACTCCCCTCTCTGAGCAAGTGAGTTCCCATCACTCTGCTGACACAGGTGCATTCCTGCCTTTGAAGATGAATTTTCCTTTGGGATTTCTGCATTCCCTCCCTGTTTTTTACTTGGCCGTAGACAGCCTCCTGCCAGGCCCTTTTGTAGCTTGGTGCTAGAGGTTCCTCTGCCCACCTCTCCCAGCATCCAAGTCCCTGCTCCCTGTGGAGCCCTCCCCATCCTTCCCCTTCCAGCTGGAGGTGCTACACATCCACAGCTTCCCTTCTTTGGAAAAACCTTGATGGATACCTCTCATTTTTCCCAGAGGGATTCATGAGAATATCTTAGGAGTATTTGATTTCCCCCCAACCACCTCACTGTAATACCTCACTTAAAAATGGGACCTATTCAAAAGCAGGGGAGCTTCTTAAAAGGAAATTAAAAGCAGCTGCTTTAAGGATGAAGAAGATGAGAAACTAGATAAAACCACCCTATCTGAAGCTCAGAGCAATATATCAGTAAGTGAAATAATTCTACAAGGGACCAAAAGGCAATATTCTAACAGCAGAGTAGAGGAGAGTGTTCAAAATCAGGGATTTCTGAGCAAATAAAGAAACTATTGGAAAAAAATTTAAAAAAGCATTAACTGTGAAGCTAAACCTGTAGGGCAGGCAAGGGGAAATTTTAAGGTGCAAACTCACTAACGGAATAATAAAAATACTAGTAAAAATATCTTCAAAATTGCCAGAATCCTATATTTGCAGAGGTTTGGTATAACAGATGACCAGTCTCTGAAAGGATTTACAGTTAAAGAGAAAACTGGTGCTTTAAAGTAAACTCAGCTCTGTGTTGGTGCTCACTGTAGTTGAGGCAGGTTCTTCTCCCATGAGAGCCAAACTTATGGGGACAAGTGTAAGGAACCGTCTCAAATTAAATGACAATAAAATTCATTTTAGGACTAATTGATAAGATGAAGAGTCAGAAATTACCAAGACCATCTGGTAATCACTCAAGAGCTCAGAAGGAAAACAAATACGCAATTATGGAGCTACAATAGTGTGTAACATGTCACTTAAATCAGTGTCCCTGCAGGAGGGATGGGAGATGGGAAATGTGACAACAATCCCTGAGAAAGTCCCCAGGAACCAAGTGGAGAACTGCAGACAGTCACACTGGAGTCCGTGCTGAGCAATGAGGAGAAATTGTAAGGGGAAAAAAGCAGAAATGGATAAACCCCAACATATTAGGGAAAGTTTTTCTAGTGAGAAACCACAATTCAAAAATTTGTTAGAGCTCGTGGAAGGGTCCTGAGGGGGCACTAAGACACCTTAGTCATAAATACATAAGAAATGATCTGGTGGGTCAGACCATGGTCTGTGTATCTGATCACCTTTCCAGGCTGTGACCATAAAAATCACAGAATCACAGAATAATTAATGCTGGAAAAGCCCTCCAGGATCACAGAGTCCCTCCTGTGCCCCATCCCCACCTTGTCCCCCAGCCCAGAGCACTCAATGCCACAGCCAGGCCTTCCTGGGACACCTCCAGGGATGGGGACTCCAAACCTCCCTGGGCAGCCCCTGCCAATGTTTAACCTCCCTTTCCACGGAGAAATTTCTCCTGATGTCCAACCTGACCCTCCCCTGGCACAGCTGGAGGTCGTTCCCTTTTCTCCTGTCCCTTGTTCCCTGGGAGCAGAGCCCGACCCCCCCCGGCTCCCCCCTCCTGTGAGGGGGTTGCAGAGCCAGAAGGTCCCCCCTGAGCCTCCTTTTCTCCAGGCTGAGCCCCCCCAGCTCCCTCAGCTGCTCCTGCTGCTCCAGCCCCTTCCCCAGCTCTATTCCCAGTTCTGGACTCTTTCCAGCTCCTCCATGTCTCTCTTCCATGAGGGCCCAGAACTGGACACAGGACATCAGATGCAACCTCACCATGGCCTCACCATAATTTTGTAAGTCCCACTCATCCCCCTTGCTGCCTTCTCTCCAAACTGAGAAGCCCCTTTCGTGTCTCTTCCAAAGCAACAGCAAGAAATCAGTATAATGTGGTTGATGGTTCTTGACAAAACTTGTAATTGAGCTGTAAAATCCCTTGCCATGGGATATTATGGATGCTCCAAGTTTACTTGTGCTCGGGGGGTAAGAGAAGAAGTTAATGGAGAGGAGTTAAAGCATAACCTGTTAAACAGTAAAACCAGGCATTGTGACTCAAAAAGTCCCAAGACACATTTTGTTGGAAAACAGTAACATTCCAAGAAAGCACCGCTGCAGGCCTGGTGTGTTCCTGAACTCCTTCCCCGGGCATCTGGATTGAAAAACAGCTGCTGGAGCAGAGGAACCTTCACTCTGACCCAGCACAGCCTTTGTTATGTTCTGTCAAAAGAAAATGAAACCCATCTGTGGATGTAAACACTTGTGATGGTAGCGGTGAGCACAGCGAGCACGAGCAGGGAAGGCTGAACTGCTCTCCCCACTCCATCAGCAAACAATGCATTTTGATTTGAATGCTAATGAAGATCTCACCACGATGCTGCAGAGTCTCATCCAGCAATATAAAGAGAAAAGCTGCATGGTAGAAATAAAGAGAGGGGCTTTAGAAAGGGATGAATGTGTGCTGTAAAGATTGATGTTGTTAACCACTCCTGGGTCAAAATATACTTGAAGCTACTGATGTAATTTGAAGTGGGTAAACCAGGCTTAGGAAGAAAGTTTTCTTACAATTGCTGCATCTGTTATGATCTGAAAAGGAGAAGTTTGTATTTCTTGCATCCCTTTAACTCCAAATGATCTGGGCTTTGTAGTCAAAAACCAGCTCCTTCCACAGGCATCTAATCGAGATCTCTTTTGCTTTTTGGATCAGAGCTGAGACAAGCTTCTTTTACAAATTTGTGCTGCAGTCTACTAAAAGAGCTGTTCCTTGCCAGGAGAATATTACACACAGTTCTGAGAGAAATGAACAGAGTCAGCTTGTTTGAGAGCTAACTGATGCTTACTCACAACTCTGATAAGCCTGACATTTACTGAGAAGTGCCACAATTCTCAGTCCACTAAAAATTCCCAAGAGGATTTTTTTTTTTTTTTGCAGTGATGCTTCACATTCTATTGATTCAGGATAAGCTGGAGACTTCTAAAGTGTTTTTTAGTCAAAAAATAAAGCAATGTGGAGCCCAGCTCCTCCGCCTGCCTTCCATACAGATGTACCAGCCTGCCTTGGCACATTTGTTAATGGCTGTGGTATGTTTAATGATGCTCTACAAGTTGTCAGCACCTTCTGTGTCATATTTCATTCCTGTAGTGTATTAAAAGCACTTCTGCAGGAGTTCTTGGGGCCTTGATTGAAATTACAGAAATTAGACTTGGAATGATGCCACTGAGCACCTCCCCAGAACAGCCCAAGCTTGCAGGGAAATACCTGTTTGGGACACCAGGCAGGGGACTGGGCTGTGCTTTGGCTTTCTGGGGCATCCCCAATATCCATGCAGGATTCTTCTGGAATAGGCCCTGCCTGAAAAACGCTATTGGGAGGCTCTTGAGTGTTCAAGTAGATTATGTCAAGCAGTTCCCTTTTGATCATTATTATAAAGATATGTTCGAATAATTCTGAAATACTAGTGATGCAAAATTTCCATTAGAGACACTGTGATAATTAACTCCTACCATATCATACTCCTTATCTAGGAATTCCATTATTCTGCTTCTATTATCATTTTGACCAACTTTCAATGTACAAAGCTCTTTCTCTGTCTCATCTTTTATCTTTTTTAAGTAGACAAGAAACCCGAATAGTGGCTAGGAATTTTCTGACAAAATTGTTTTTCAGGGGAGAAAAAATTCTTATTTATCAAAACTTGAACTTTTCACAGGAACATATGTTCCAGATGTCAAGAGTTGCAAAATCCATCACTTCAGGTGGTAGTTTGTTCCCAAATTTAATCATCACTGCTGTTAAAAAATGTGTGTTTCATTTCTGGTTTGAATCACTTTCATTTTTCAGCCCTTAGTCTTTCTTCTGTCTCTGTGAGATTAAAAAGCGTTGGTTGATATTTCCCCCTTGTGAAGGTGTTTATCGAGTGGCCCCTCAATTGAGCTGTTTAAGTTTCCCAGTTACATGTTCTTCTCTCTTCATATTCTTTTTATGGCTCTTTTCTGCCCTCAGTCTAATCTTTCAACAGCATTGAATGGGAACACCAGAATTAGATCCACTGGTGCTTTCAGTGCTGCTGTGCTGGGGGAGTGGGTTCCTTATTTCTGAGCACTCCTCCCGTCTCATTGCGCTTTCCCTGAGCATTTGTGGGGAGCTCTGTGGCCACTGAGACCTCTCGAGTCATAACCATTGCACTCCAGGATGGAGTTTTGTGTTCCATATTCTCTGCTGGTTCATTGATTGCCTCTTCTTGAACTCCCTCCTCTTGTACCTTGCATGAGATTAAGCAGAGCAGCCTCTCTGTGGCTGCTCAGGCTCCAAGAGCTCTGCAGAGCAGCCAGCCTCTGTTTCTATAAATTGGTTCTCTAACCTTTTTTTTCCCTCTGTGCCATTATATCGATTTATTTTATGAATAATAGAGGTGCCCATGTTTAGTATTTCACCTCTCAGCATTAAGCACTCAGTCTTCTTTCTCTGGTGACTGATGGGATAACTCGCCTCATATATTTACATTCTTACTGCCAGACACTTTCAGTGTATAGTCTTTTCCAGTAAGAATTTTAGCCTGACTAGATTCCTTAAAACATTCTCTTTGATATAAAAAAAGAACCTTTCCCTTTTATGACTTATACTCTCTTTTCTGTAGTTTATGGCCATATACTGTAGTATATTGTTAGTTTTGTCACTGGGATTTACTATTTGCCGCTGATTTTATCACCTGTGTTTTACTTCGTTTGGTTTTGTGTGTTTTGGTTTTTTTTTTTAATTTACCCCCCCACACCTCAATTTTTTAGATTTATAGTTCTTAATTTGGGGGGCAGCTTTGTTTAGCTTCTTAGTCCATTTTGATACAATAAATTTCACCTGGGAGCTCTTCCACCCCTGTACTAAGCTCTTCCTCTGAACTACAGGGATACAAAGAGTGTTTGTGTTGTACCAACCCTTAGCAATCTGTTTACCCTTAACTCATGACAGATTTCCCCCAGCTCCCACTTAATTAAACTCATCATGCATGTTTTCCTTGCGAAAAGCCTGATTTCACTGCGGAGTTTTGATGGAGCCCATCACCCCCGGTAGCGGCTCCTTCCCCGGTGCCTAATTGGAGCTGCGTGTTGAAGTGGAAGGATTTCAGAGGAACTGTCAACAGCACCCTGGGGCTAAATCTTCCAGCCAGCAGCCTGACTTTGCCTTCCAGGATCCTTCACTCGCATTTCCCTTGCAAATGTGTGACATGCAGCGGGACCTCGTGCTCCTCCCCAGCACTTCTCGGGTGTCTGGTGAGAGGCCCCGGCGTCGTCTCCCTGTTAAGTCAGCAAATCTGTCATCACGTGTGCAGCTGCCACTGTGCTCCTGGTATTTAAACCCCCAGCAGCACAGGGGAGCGAAGATTCTCAGCTGAAAATGTGTTTTCAGGTAGAGCCTTCCTGGAGTTGGCAGCTTGATTTTCCTGGGCTGGAAGGCACCGTCCTGCTGTGTTAATACAGTGTCCTGATGTGCTGCCCTGTCCCTGGAACGGCTCCAGGCCAGGTTGGACGGGGCTTGGAGCTACCTGGCGTAGTGGAAGTTATCCCTGCCCATGGCAGAGATGATCTTTAAGCTCCCTCCCAACCCAACCCATTCCATGATTCTGTACTAAACCATCAATTGTGAGAGCAGAGCAAATATTCTGAGCTGAGTCTTATCCCTCATGTCCTTTTACACTGGTTTTGTGCTTTATATTTGTTCTCTCCTTGTCTCTCCGGATTAGCAGCTCTGGCCTCAGACAGCTCTGGGAATGTGCTGTGAGAGCCATGTGGGCAGTGCAGGCAAGAGCTGAAGCAATTACTGGAGCATTAGTGACTGCCCTGCCTCGTGGAAGGCAGGTGAGATCACTGAGCACTGTCGAGAGGCAAACACAGTGTAACTCTCTTGAAAAAAAAGAGAAACCAGAGAATGAGAGACCACTCTTCCCAGAAATAAGTCTGAAAAAATATTACATGATCAATTTAAAGCAAATAGAAGATAAAAGGGGGGGAAAAAAGGACATAGATTTACCGAGAATTAATCGTGCGATCTTACTGTAATTTCCTTCTTTGAGAAAATAATGTCTAGTAGATGAAGATGAGGCAGCAGATGGGACATATTTTGCTTTAGGAAAGCTTTTGAAACTGTTCCACATGATTCTCTCAGAAGCAGACTAAAGAAATATGGTCTGTATCAGTGCGCCCAGTATTTCTGGCTGGGTGAGACACTTACCTTGTTTCTGGAGAAGGGAGAGCCCATCTGTTGCAGCCCTTCCTCTAATGGATGGTTGCATTGTGCAAGCAGAGAAAAGCCAGAGTGTCCTGGGGCAAGGAGATTTATTGCAGTTGTGTGGGCAGATTCACAGTGCCATGATCAGAGGCACTGAGTGAGCTCCCAGCAACAGTGCTCTGCACTGTGCTCAAAATAGCCCGTCCAGCAGCAGCCCCCCTGCTGGACTCTGGATCCAGGAATGAGGGAGAAACCACAGCCAAATTCCTTGTCCAGGCTTGCCCTGTACAGCTCAGAGCTTGCACTCCATCATTTAGAAGGTGTGTGATTTTACCAGAATCCTGGAATATGCTGAGTTGGAAGGGACTTACAAGGATCATCCAGTCCAACTCCTGGCCCTGCACAGGCCCATCCCCAAGAGTCACCCCCTGTGCCCCAGAGGATCAGCCAAACCCTCCTGCAGCTCTGGCAGCCTTGGGGCTGTGCCCACTGCCCTGGGGAGCCTGGGCAGTGCCCAACCAGCCTCTGGGGGAAGAACCTTTGCTTGAGATCCAACCTGAGCCTGCCCTGACACAGCTCCAGCCATTCCCTGGCTGCTGTCCCTGGTCCCCCCAGAGCAGAGCTCAGTCCCTGCCCCTCCTCTGCCCCTGCCCAGGCACTTGGAACTGCACTGAGGTCTCCCCTCAGTCTCCTCTGCTCCAGCTGAACACACCAAGTGCCCTCAGTGTCCTCCCGTGGCTTCAAATCAAGGCCCTTCCCCATCTCTGTGTCCCTCCTTTGGACACTCTCCAATGGCTCAATCTCTTCCTTCCATTGTGTCCCCCCAAACTGCCCCAATGTTGAGGTGAGGTCACCCCAGGGCAGAGCAGAGCGGGACAATCCCCTCCCTGATGCCCCAGGACAGGGATGTCCCTCCTGGCTGCCAGGGCACTGCTGACTCAGGGACAACTGGGCACTGACTGGGACCCCCAGGGCCCTTTCCCAGCACTGCTTTCCAGCCTCTCATCCCCAGTCTGTACAAACACCCAGGGTTGCCCCATCCCAGACAGAATCTGGCACTTCCCCCTGTTGACCTTCCCATGGTTGGTGATCACGTGGGTGGCAGCGTGTCCCTGGGACTGGGAGGCTGTTTTACTGCAGCCCTGCCTGTGTGTGTCCTGTCCCCAGTTCTATGCAATTTTTTAATTAATGACCTGTATGTTTTAACTCATAAAATTTTTGGAGAAACCGGGGTGCACTTTGAAGGTCAAGATCAGATTTCTAATGAGCTTGAGAAACCAGAGACAGTGATGCAGAAATCAACAAATAAATAGAAACAAGTGCTCTGTGGCACACTTATGAAAGAGCAAACATCTACCAAAATGTATTAAAAAAAGGTACAACTGTCCGCCTGAAGCTTGCCAGGAACAGATATGGGAATTAGAGAAAATAAAAAATTAGTGAGCAATCACAAAAATCTCATACTGGGAAGTGTTAATGGAATGTATTATAAAACACGGGAGAAAATCTCATTTTCTGCAGTGCTGTTGAGGGCTCTGCTGGACTTTTGTGTCCACACTTGGTGCTAGAGGGAGCTGGTGGTGTGAGTGATGTGGGTACTGAGGAGAGGAGTGAATAGGAAAGACACTTGAAAGTGGAATCACTGTTATAAATTTTCACAGTACCAGACGAGCAGATTCCGAGTCGTTGGTGAGGTGGCTTTTACAAGAGAGATAAGCTACATAAATCAACATGGACTAGATTGCAAACTAGGCTTTAACATTCAAAAGCAATGAGGTATTTTTATAGTTGACAGTTGTGGAAACTCACCAAATAAACAACTGCACATGGCTCCAGATCCAACTGCTCTTCCAGAGAAATGAGGAAATTCATGTAATGTAGAAAAATGGAAGAACTGAAATCAATAGCATGCAGGAAGGAAATAGCAAAGAATGGTCTCAGCAATTAAAGCCCCAGCTAAGCAGGTCCCTTGAAAAATGGGCAATTAGATCAATAAAAAATGTAAAAGTATATCTATACAAGGGCTGTAACTCTGAAGCTCAAAAGAGGTGAACTAGACTGATTTCAAAGGAAATTATTGACATAATAAATGCCTCAGAAACTTGGCAGAAGGGTAGGAAACTGTAATAATAGGGAACAAATTACAGAGGAAGGCTGGAAAGGGGTGCATTAGTGGTGAAGCCGTGGAGAGCATGAGGAATTGTCCCTAAATGAAGTTCCAGCAGAGGACATTCTGGAACAAATCAATAAAATGAGCAGTCAGAAAGCACCAAGATAAGATGATACTCAATCAAGAGTTCTGAAAGACCTCAAACACTAGATTAAGAGAAAGCTAAATGTAGCATGAAAAGTGTCATTTAAGTTGACCACACTAAAAGAAGGATGGAAAGTGGCAAATGTGTCTTCAGCCTTGAGAAAAAGGTCTCCAGGACAAATGTGGAAAAGCAGAGATCAGTAAATCTCACTTCCAAACTGAATAAGTGGGTAAAAACTACAATAATAAAGAAGAGAACCAGTAGGCAATTTCATAAGTGTGATTTATTTAGAAAAAGTCATTACAGTTCTTGCAGAAGGAGCCTGTGTCTCATAAATCTATTTGTACTCTTTGAAGATGTCAACAAGCTTGTAGGTAAGGCTGATCTTGTTGATAAAGTGCTCATGGACTCCCAAACAAATGTCAATAAGTCTTTCCTCAAAGACTCTTAAAGTAGTTAAGCTGGGATAATAAGATGTCCTCTTGTAAGTAAATAAGATGGAGACAAAATGGTACAAAAAGTGGGAGAAAAGATGGGTTTTCCTGGTGAAAGGAACTCTGCAGCTTAGTCATGCAACTCTTTGATTTAGGATTCGGAAAGGGGGGTGAATATTGCAGTGATAAAGTTTGTGGATGACAAGAAACGAGCTGAGACAGCCCAGGCTGACCCTGGGAAGAGAAGCAGATGGTTCTCGTGGCAGTGAGGGACCGTGTCAGGAGAGAATGGGAAAGTCAACGCTAATAAATGCAAAGTAGTTTGTCTGGGAATATACATACTCAATCCTATATTGTATTCCCTCAATTATGGATTGGACAGAACATTGTTATCACCCAGAAATGGAGCTGCTGTAGGAAAACTCCATGAAAAGATTGGTACAACGGCCACAGCAATAAAACATTCCAGCTGAATGAGAGACATTTTTAGAAAAGGGAAAAAGGAACAGGAAAACACCATTATGTGATTATGTCACTGTATAAATGTTTGGCAAGCCCACCTATTGATTAATATCTACAGTTCTGTTCATCCTGTCTTCACACAGAACAAAATAGAACAAAAAAGGGTGGGTGGGAGTTATTTAGCTCAGAGATTTAGACACCTAAATTTAGGTTTCTACCTGTAGGTGTCAATCTATGAGGTAGATACCTAAACTCCAGCACTAAATCAATTTTTTTTTAATCTGAATTCCACCCACAGAAAGTAGATGAGGACAGAATGGTTTTTGTATCAGGACAGAAAACAGTCAGCCATGGGACAGAGACCATGAGTTAGGAAACAGTAAGAGGAGGTGGCTATTTTTTTTAAGAATAGGAGAAGTTAAGGATAGCCCATAAAATTATAGGGCATCAGGTCTAAATCAGAAAGTCATAAATTCTCATATAACTGATTATTAAATTGCAGAACTTATTGCCTGAGGCTGTTGTGGAGGTCAAAAGTATAAATGAATTAAGAGTTGCTGGGAGGCTGCTGGGAAGTCACTGTCCTGCCAAACAGAATTAGGGAGGCTCCTTCAGCTGTCAAAAGCCAGGTGGAGGTACCTGGGAAGGACTTCCAGGCAGGTAAGGAGGACAATAAAGGCAATTTCTAGGCCAGAACAGAGACTGTGAGCCTGAAACTGGTGTGCACCCAACTACCATTTGTCCTTGTATCAGTGGGGCACCACAAGGAGAGAACCACGACTGGGATCTCAGGAACAGAAGTGTGGGATGCTCCAACATGGACTTGGAAGAAGGAGAAGGAAAGGGAGGGAGAGAAATCCTGTGCAGAAATTTTAAAAAATGAGGGAAGACTGCTGATAGCCATAAACCAATGTTCACTGGCACAGGTAATGCCCAGAACAGGGAACAGCTTTTGCAGCTCATGATCTCCAGCACCTCAGAGCTCCCTGAAGGAAAGGAGTCCTGGAGGCCACGAGCAGTCCAGCTGCTCCCAGGGCTCCTGCCTGGATGCACTCCTGCCTGGGGCTTGAAATGGAGGTCCTGGAATCCCCTGCTGACTCCAGTCTTTGCCAGAGCAATGCTCTGGTGGGTTTTTCAGGCTGGAATTGCTAAAACCTGTGTTCAGCTGAGTCAGCTCCCTCTGTCCAGACTCTCTGGGTTTCTCTGGTGTTTCAGTCATTGAACCCCAGAATCATTAAGGGCAGAAAAGACCTCCAAAACCATCAAGTCCAACCTTTGATTGAACAGCCCCAGAATTGCCATTCCATGCCCACTAAACCATGTCTCAAAGCACCACGTCTGCTCGTTCTTTGAACACTTCGGGAGTGGTGACTCCACCACTGCCCTGGGGAGCCTGTCCTGAAGTTCCTGTTACTGAGGGGATCCTGAATGCCATCAGAAATGACCCAAACAGGGAGAATTTGGATGAACTGGCTCTCAGGAGTAGCTGACAAGATATGCAGTGCTGTGGAGAGGCAGCTCTTTGATATGGGGGACAACTGAGTTATGAATGTGGCTGCCCCTGTAGCTCAGTTTAGTTTGGTATAAAACTGTGTGTAGTGGTGCCAAACTTTCCTCTTTCAATCCTGCTTTCATTTTCCAGTTTGTTCAGATATATTTTCCTCCTTCATTTCATGCTTTAGAGAAACACTTGTTTCTGTTTTGAGTTACTCTGCTGACTCTCCCCAGGGTATTTCCACCTGGCTCTTAAATGCTTGCAGGTATTTTCTGTGTGCTTAGGCAGCCATGAATTTGGCTCACAGTGCTCAGGACATGGAGTGCTCTGGAAAGCAGCATTGCTCATCTGCAAGGTGCAATCTCAGGGAATGATGATTTAATTAGATTGGGAGCACTACTTAAAAGCAAAATTGGAACCTAATGCATCTGTCTTCAAAATACACTTCAGCATTACATAAGAAACCCATAATAACGTCAGAAGTGGAAAACCTTTAAG